ATTATATGAGGAGAGGGACTTGCAGATTGGCACTTCTTGTAAGTTACGCCATCCTAAACATGTAATTAATTTTCTGCTCTTCTTCTTTCTGTTTATAGATGAAGACTCTGGTTGGTACGATGGTCAGGTACATAGGTTTTTAGTTTACCTTTTGGTTTTTACCAAGTTGAATGATTATGTTACATCTAAAGTTGATTCAATGCTCACAACTCTTTTAGCATATTTCATTGCCTTAAAAGTTGGAAGTTTTTCCTTTTCAATGCAATTTCCTTCCCTTTTGTAGAATCATACAGCTTGGTTTCGAACTAATTCTTTTTGCTTGTAAAGAAGTATATGACAAGGTAGTAAAAGTTGGATATTCCATTGAAGTTGCCCGGAGGATATATATATCATCATATGTTCTCATTGACAAATGTGGTATGCATGGTGCCAATTGCCTAGAATGTCCACTATTTCTTTATGACCAGTTCGTCAAATGCAGGAAATCATCACGAATCTGAATTTGAACCAACATTTAATTATCTTGTTTTTATATTTTAGTATTCTACTTGCTGGCTATTCTGATGTAGATATTGAAATTTATTGTATTTGTCACCAAAATATGTTTTGTAAATGCTTCGAAATGAAAGGTTTAGTGCTGCTTAGAGTTGCTATGGGTTCATTTTTATATTCTTGTTTCAGGTGTTTGATTGAATTCTTATATTCATATTGTTGAAGCCTGCCATCCAACGAGTGGGTTTCATTTGAAATTATTAGTTTGGGTGTTTAATTCTTGTTTTTATTCAAATTTAAGTTTTGGGTTCAACAAGTATTCCAATTATTATAATATCTTGGTTATGCGCTTCACTTTTGCATAGCCTGCATTCTTTTGTACACATTTTCTTATTAAATTTCTCAAATTTTAATAAGTATTGAAGCCCTAATGACATCTTTGTGATGCTTTTAAGAAGCATATTTTGACAAGAAAAATGTCATTTTTGGAGCTTAGGCTTTGTTGGGTAGGTGGATTGGTTTGTCTACGCAAATTCAGTTAAGTATTTAATGGTTGATTATTTTTTGGAGCTTAGGCCATGTCACAATGCAAGTCTGGTTATTATTCTCTTGAAGCGGACTTATTTTATTTCATTTAAGCAGAATTTAATGGTTGATTTTTTTTTTTTTTATTGTTTGACTGTGTGGTGGATCTCTTGGATTGGATTTATTTGTTTTCAAAATCAAGAGATTTTCTTGAACTTCTCCCTCTAAGAATACTTAATTTTAAAAAAAAATGAACAATTGGGTTGTGTTTATTAAGCTCTTAAGATTTCAATTTTGAGGATGGATACTGCTCATGGATTGAAAAAAATTGTTGAAGATTTTTTTTTTTTGCTGGAAAAAGAAGTGTTGAAGTTAAGATACTCCTTTGTAGTAACTAGCAATACATGATCATATGATTGTGATTGATATTTCATCAACGAGAACAATTATACTATAACGCATAATTATAAGATATAATTCTATCGTACAAAGATCATGAGATTACAGAAGAACAGAGTAAGCTATTTGAGTTAGAGTGATCAAGATTCTAGAATACCCTACCGTGACAGATAGTGGATTCTGGAATATCAGCTTCTGTTGCCATTAATTTGCAGATAGTGGATTCTGAGGCGCATGAAGGAACTTTGTTTTTATCCAAACTCCAAAAGCTAGCTCAGACTTTGGAGTTTTTAAGTTGAATTGAATCCACGGATGCAGCTAGCAAGCTTTTTATGTCTGCCTTTGTTGCTGCTGCTGACTATCTTTGCAGCTTTTGAGTTGTGTTTTTTAATCATTAGATATCTGTATTAATCTATTGATAGTTATATTAGCAAAAGCAGCAGCCATGGGAACTGACAAAATTGCCACTTTTTATATGCTAATATGTAATGTATGGATGAGTGGGCCACTAATGCAATGGTTGGCAGCAAAGCATGTCATTCTTTCTCATTTCTACCTGCCAGAAAGTAGGAGCAAGATGAATGTTTTTGTACCCAGAAACAATCTTATTATGTTTCAGATTATGTCACTTCTCACTTGTGTCTCTGCAGAAACAGATTAACATTTGCCTCAGTTGTATCTCCAATGAGGTTATAGCTACTACAAAGATATCAAATTCAAAAGTCAACCTTAATGGCAAATATAGGTGCAATCTGTTGCTTCATGTATAGTTATATGTGCTAGTAGTACAAAATGCAAAAGTTTAATCTAAATTCTCTAACTAATTCAAAGTTCCTAGTATTAGACAAGTACTGGCTCCAAATAGTGTATGGCCAGAAAGAGACAAACATATAAGTGCAGCCCCATACTTCACTTGCAAACCAACAAAGAAGTGGAGAACACGGGTAGAACTTAGGATCACTTGCAAAGAATCGTCTGATACCATGTTAGACAATCAGTGATCCCACAAGTTTAATGTGTTGTGTAATAGATCAACACTGTGTCAAACTTATTGCAACATAAAAGTTTATGCTAAATTGATGAAAAGGGTAAGCAGATATGCAATGCAAGAGCAATTTATGGAAACTTCACAAACAAAATTGGAGTAAAAACTAAAGATCCATCATCTCAACTCTAAGTGGTTGAATAACGGAACAGTGATGCTTGACACAGACCTATGTTACTTAGTGGCATAGCATTAACCGCCAATCATGCTTAACAATAAAATAAACAGAGCTTCTAATAACTAGTTAGGTAAGTAACGTCTTGCGGATCAATCTATGCTAACAACCTGAAACCCCACCAAATTAATACTTGGATACCAAAGCCAAGCCACAAAAGAGAAGGCCAAGTCGACCACTTCTCCTTTTTGTCTCTCATTCTACCTTGTTTTAGTTTCCTCCCTACTTTGGCAAGAACCATGCTAAACTTGTTCGAGTTCAACAAGGGTACGTAGGAGCAATAGCACAAAGATACTTCTCGATTTCACCCACACTTAATTTATCATGCATTAATCTCCACTTCAATATAAATGCTTTAGAAAGCATGCACAAGTTTCAACACACTCAAATACAACATACAGCCATACACAAACACTTAGCTACTCTTTGCTCATAGCCAGCCTTAACATAAATACGTAAGAGACTCAGAGAAGAGAGAAGCATAGAATGACTAGCGCAGGAGTTGCTGGGATGATGTTTCAGTGTGTGTTTGAAGGAAGCCTGTCAACGCGGGACTCCGAAGTTGAGCAAAGGGCCTTACCATAAGAACTGCAGTTGCGCTCTGCACATATTCCTCCTGTAATTAAACATTATTGTCACTCTTCTTCAATACAACTGAAAATACCAGTTAAAATAGCAGCCCATAAGTGAAACGCTGTGTTTCACTAACCCTATCTTCACCTTTTTTTGGACGAACCCTATCCTCGCTTATCTCTCATCTCTCCGCCTCCATCACCTCCCATCTCTCTCTACCTCCATCGTCTCTCATCTTTCTCTGCCTCCATAATCTCCTCTATCGCGCCCTTGAAAGAAGGTGAGCCCAGCATCAGCTACGAAGAAAAGAAGAAAAATTCAAAGATCCCTTTGACGAGTAAAGAAGAACCCTTTGCCGCCACTGGTTGGGTCGAGAAGAGTAGAGAAGCAGCCACCCAACCCGCCCAGGCCACCTAGGCGGGCGCCCAAGCGCCGCCTAACTCCCTGGCACCTACTCCTAACGTTTAGGGTGAACTTGCAGTAGTGTTCTCCCGCCTAGTGCCTAGGAGCGCCTAGGAGCCGCCTAGGAGCCGCTGAGGCGGCCGCCTAGCGCCTAGGCGCCGCCTAGGTCGATTTTTCAGAGTTTCTTCTTCTTCTTCTTCTTTTGTGGTGGGGGGTGAAGAGATAAGAAAACATGTCAAAAGGGCATGAAAGATGAAGAAAAATTAATAAAATAAAAACAAAAAATTATTTTTAATTTTACTCAACAATCATTTGATATTAATTTGTCCTCACCAGCCCTTAAATGTCATATGAATCATCGAATTTTTTACTGGCATTGGCCTAATGCATGAAAGCACTTGTGATAATAAGAGTAGAATTAATATGGAGGAGACATAAAGCCAGGGCAGAACTAAGCTGGTGGGTGTTGAGTTTTCTGCATATTTTTAACATAAAGCCAACTCACAACAACTAACAATTGCAAGAGTAAATCAGAACAATACAATTAGATCACTCTTAACAAGTCAACTAGTATCCACTGTCCACAGAGAGAGAGAGAGAGAGAGGATCACCTTCTCAGCCAAACTAGTAGCAAATTCTTCCCTCAAAGCATCTTCTCTCTTTTGTGTTTCCGTATTTGAACGTTCTTGGACAACTGCAGCTTTCTCTAGAGCAGCTTTTGTTTCCAGTCCTGAGCCTCCTCTTGAGCAGACTGAGCTTGCTTCAACAGAAGTAGCTTGATCTTCATCAGCCTTGTGCTTTGATATGACCTGTTCGTATTTTTCTTTTCTCTAAAATCATTCTTGCTTTGCAGAATCCAATGTTTTAACTAAGCTAGAACATCTCTCTTCCAATGTTTTAAAGAGAGTAATAGATTTGAGTCCATGACCAACAAGAGAGAGAGAGATCAAAGACAACAGTAAGTCACTGACCTGAATAAGTCGCTTTAAAGAATATTTTAAACGTATAGCCGAACGGCTATACGCTTTAAAATAAAAATATAAACAAATTAAAAAACGTATAGCCTCTCGGTCGTACTATTTTATAAATAAATAAATAAAAACTGAAGTATAGCCTTCAAAATTTTAATAATGTATAGCCGAACGGCTATACGCTTAAGAATTAAAAAATTAAAAAGGGTCTCGAATGTATAACGTCAAGGTGATACTCTTTTCCAAAAAGGTATAGCCGATCGGCTATACTGCTTAAATAAATTTTTAAATGTATATCACTCAAACACTTAAAATTCACATTTTTATTTTTATTAAAATTCACTTTTAACCATCATTTAACTTACATACAATTGAAATATAAAATACAACTCAACTACACAAATTCATCTCGATTTAATTTTAAAATAAAAATAAAAATCATATTATCCACACCAAAAGCTAAACTCTTTTGTCGCAAAATTTATACCACTCTGCCATATGGACTTGTTAAGTTGTTTTAGCAGCCCGACAATACAATTTTGTTCTTTTTGTTTTGGTCGAAATTCTACTATGTTTAATTTCCTAAATTTTTTTTTGTTTTTATTTTTTATACAAACAATATTCTTTTTTAATCTAATCTACTCATCAGAAACCTTGTACTTCTCTACTGCCTGAGCACAAGCCGCAGCCAGCTCCTCCGCCTTCTTTCTCTCAGCCTCCACCCTGGCCTCCTCGGCAGCCTCTAGTCGGCGAGACACCTTCTTCAGCTCCCTCTCCAACCGCCCTACCTTCAACTGCAGGGCATTCTTCTCTCGAATGTAAGCCTGAGCCTCGGTAGTAGCAGCCTTCGCTGACTCTGAATGGCGCCTGGCCAACGCCACCTCTCTCTGTGCCCTGGCTAGGGCCTGCAAACACACATCATCCTCATTAGTTAGACTTAGCTTAAAAAAAACAACACAAAAAATTCACCAAGGCACTAGGATACTCACGTTGGCAACAAACAAGACTGACTTCTGCCGCCGAACCACGGTGAAGTCTATGTCCTCTGGGCCCTCGGGGAACAGCTCATCTAGGCCTAGCGGTAGCTTCGGTGAAGGGTCTAGATCACAGGGTGGCAGCTCTATTCTACCCATGACGTCATGGATAACTGTCTCTAATCCCATATGCCTTTTGTCCAACTCGGACAGCCCTTCGTCACCATCCCTCCACCGCTTCTCAAGAGCACGCCCCTCCGCCTCCTCGGACGTGTTGGCTAGCCCCTTCGCCAGTTTCTCTTTCGCCTTCTTGGCCCTAAGGGCCTTCTCCCTCTCTTTTTTTTCTCTAAGCTTCTGCTGCCTCTTTTTTTCATCCACCTTGCCACCTTCGGCGACCCTTCTACTACCGAAGTTACACTCTTCGGCACACATGCCACTACAACCCACAAAACATAACAGACTTTAGCTCCCACACAGGATGCACAGAAACACAACCACACAACAACAACAAAACAAACTTACTACCTTGCAGAAGCCCAGACTCCAGAAGAAGCGTTGGCATCACTATGTTCCTCGCCGCCCGTCTCTTCGCTGAGACCAGAGTTCTCACCAACTCTATCTCCTCTTCCTCCTTCTTTGAGATGGGACTGCACTTCACTGAGCCTGCACAAAGAACAAAAAAGAAAACCATAAGTTCCCAAACCCTCGGAACACATCAAGACACATACCGAAGCTTGTACAACCAAAGCAAGTTAAAACATAGCAAAAGAAAAATCAAAGACCTATGGACTGAAACTGGGTAGGCACGTGTCTGTTGACAGTCTTCCCAGACCAACAATCCCAATCGTCGAAGGTAAAGAACCACCGGTTCCTCCACGTCTTCTGCGACGTTGGGGGCTACCCTATGAAGTACCCTCTCTCCTTTGCCTTTCGACAATAAACCTGCACCCATCCGAAGTTACCTTGCTGCCTGGAGACGGAGTAGAGATGCATGAACTGCTCCAAGGATGGCTCGCTACGCTTGGCCAACCACTAAGCTATATACACCCCATGCAAAATGATCCAAAAATTGGGGTTGTACTGCCTAGGAGCGTAACCCAGTCTTGCCAACATCATCTGCACCCAAGGATGCAGCGATACCCTCAGCCCAAACTTATACATGGCTGAAAACATCATCACACAACCTTCAGGGGGGTACCTCACTGCTTCTGTAGACGTTGGCGGCCTCAACCCCACACAATCAGAGATCATATAGTCACCCTTCAGCTGCTCCAACTCGTAGAGAGTAAGTTTGTTCCTCTTCGACAATGGAACCCCCACTTGCACATTCACACCACCAGAGGCCACCACTACCGTCCCAGACCCTGACGGCTTCCCCCGCCCACTTGAACATACTTCTAATGCCTGAGTTATCCCCAAGGCCCGGTTGGCCACGGCCTCTAAGGCAGTATAGTTCCACTGCATCTCCTTGTAAGCTTCCCTCCCAGAGCTTACTGATTGCGCTTCTCCCCCAGACCTATTCTTCTCCACTATCAAACCCTCTACCAAGCCTTCAGACTCAGTACTCTCCCTATCATAACCCAAGGCTTCGTCATGTTTATCACTCTCCAAGTCCTCCCCACTGAAGGAATGGGTACTTGGTGGACTTTGGCTTTTTCTCTCAGAGTTATCAGACATCTACAAACACAAAAATACAGAAACTAATGGGCATGCGAAGATTGAAAACAAGTTCCCTAGGCATGTTCTACAATGTTCATCAAGTTCATGCACGTTCATATGAAAATGAAAAGTTCATACACGAACTCAACAAAAAGGTGCACTTCAATCCAAAATGAACGAAGGGAACAAGTCATACGTTGTTATGACAACCACAGGCGGCGGTCGAAAATCGCACTGCCTTGACCGGAAATTGCCTGAAGCTCCTTTTCAAAATCTTGCGAAAATTCCTAAGTGCCTCCACTTCCAAGCATTCCTCGGAATATGAACCATCACCCTTTGCCCCCAACCACCCCACTTAAACGACGCCTCGATTCCCACACAAAAAAAACCCTTCGACTCTCCTGACACGTGGCAAAAAACCCTTCTACTCTCCTAACACGTGGCAAAAAACCCTTCGACTATCCTGACACGTGGCAAAGCTGACGTCAAGCCTACCGTTCAGCACCATTCGTGCTGAACTTGCAAGGGACCTCACGAGACAACTCGCTGATGTCACGCCTACCGTTCAACACCCTCTGTACCGAACGTGCAAGGGACCTCGCGAGACAACTCCCTGACGTCACGCCTACCGTTCGGCACCCTATGTGCCGAACGTGCAAGGAGACTCGTGAGACAACTCGCTGACGTCACAATTACCGTTCGGCACCCTCCGTGCCGAACGTGCAAGGGACCTCGCGAGACAACTTGCTAACGTCACACCTACCGTGCCGAACGTGTCGGGGGCCTCACGCAACAACACGTACTGACGTCACGCCTACTGTTCGGCACCCTACGTGCCGAACGTGCAGACCTGACTCTCACTAGCGTCACCCCTCTGTACGACAGAGCGCTTACCAATTGTTTAAGATACATACCCCCATGAAAAGAAAATCCTACGATAGGGGTTAATACAGAATTGAGCTATACAATTTATCATAGTTGGCAAAAACTTGAACGATAAAAAATTAATAGGCATCAATATAATGACCGTATTCATAAATACAAGGAAGCACACAGGTGAAATGCAACGTAGTAAAGAGTTACTTGTAGAGTTTTCCAAAAGTTTTCCTCATGCGTGCAACATCAGCACCAATAATTTCAGCTACCTTCTTCCCATCTTGAAAGAATTGGAATGTTGGCTGCAGCAAAATGCACACATGGCAAAGTATCTAATTTTTAAAAGCTTCAGACCACAAACCAAAAGGAATTTGTTTTAACACTATCCAAGATGAAACATAGAGAATGCACTAAGAAGCCACAGTAGTAATTATAATCCATTCAAAGGGCATGCTAAAACGAACAGCCCACGGGTGCCAAGCCATAATAAAAGAAGCTATAGATGACCAACATTCTAAAAACCAAAGGTCATACACATGAGCAATTAGAACCGTAAAGCTCAATAGGGGACAATTACATTCAAACAAAAGAAAAGGGAGCAAATCGTTTACCACAGAGGAAATATTCCGGTTGCGCAAAGTGTTTGCAAGGCCTTTCTATAGTTAGAATAAACAATGTCAGGTTTAACAATAAAAACAATTAACAAGATACTAGATTTCATTATCTTGCACAATTGACAACCATTGAGTCAAAAGAAATAAAATGGTTCCCAGAAAAATTATCCCAGTTTGTAGAAAACTAAATTCTAATGCGAACCTCGTCAATGTCAATCTTATATGTTGTCACATGTGGGTATTGCTCACTCAACTCTCCAATGACTGGAGATATGAACCTGCCTGCACAAGAAGAGCAATACCAAAGTACCAAAAATAAGTTAAAAATGCATAAACAAGGTACTGTTTGCTGTAAATGACTTCATTAATGAAAGTAAAAGTCTTCAGAAACTTACAAGTCTTGCACCAGACTGCAGTGAAGTAGAAGAGTGCTGGCAAAGCTTCATCTATCTCATTGAAAATCAATAAATAAGTAAAAATTGTATGAAAATTATGACTTTTCTTAAAACTAAGCAACTACAGAGAAAACCCAAGTAAATATACCTCGAACTATGTCAATTGCGCTATAATATTCATTCTCTGTCCTAATGGGGACAATTTTTGAGGGTCCTGAAATTCAATAATCAACTCAAGTTAATGAGCTATTACAAAACCAAAAAAATGAAACCTTTGTGAAAAGAAAACAATGGAAACACCAAAAACAAAAATACAAACAGAAATAGGAGTGCCTGAGGGTGATGAGAGGGTTCGGTGTTGCAGAAAATGAGGGTTCGAGAAGTGATGAACGGACTTGGAGAAGGGTTTGGAATTGGAAGGGGTTGTGTGTGATGAAGATGGTGTGGTTGAGATTGAAGCTAGGGTATGGAAAGAATTAGGAGGAAGCTTGTGATGATGATTGAGAAGAGCTGCGCAGAGCTTGTTGCGATTGCCAAGCAATTGTCGCGCCAGAACCCCAGAATTCCTCGCCATTTTTGTGTCTCGCTTCGTTTCTTTGCGTAGGGGTTTAAGACAGAATCAAAACGGGTCTTCCAAGAACCAAAAAAGATCAATAGGAGGTAGATGGGCTATGAGCCATCACAGTTGGAGGCCCACAGCTAACAATAAGACCCAGGCAGGCTTGCTTTTGTGTCCATGGTCCAGATATATTTCGAGTCAAAATCTAAATCTTGAAACCTAATCGAAGCTCGGGCAAATTTATATTCTAAATAATCAACCATGTCAATAAAAGAGAACAAAGTTAAATAAAATTTAGAAATTTAGTTATATATCCATTCTTAACACTAGTGTTATAAATAAACCCTACATCATTTAAAACCCATAAATACACCCAAAAAAAACCCAAAAATTGACAGGTGTTCTATTAGCTTATATTGTATTATGATTTTACCCTTTTAGCATGAAGTATATAGAAAAACCCATGATCGCCAGCTCACCTTCTTCAAAGAAACGTGGAATCCATAAAAGCATGTGAAAAAAACAAAAAACAAAAAACCTGGAAGCCATAAAAGTTGGTATCCCCAAAAGACCAATTGCTACTTTTTCTCAAATCTCAACCCAACCGACTTAAAAATTATTCTTTTTTATCTTTTATTTAATAACAATTACTTTGCGGATTGAAGAGGAATGAGAAGAAGAAGAAGAACATCGACCATCACGATGCGTGAGCTCATGACTGGTGGAGTAGCTTGTGCGGTTCCAGGCTCATCTTCTTCCGCCAATCCTTTCGGTGCTCTAGCCAACGCTCTTATCGGCTCTTCTTCCAAGACGTAGGTTCGTCATCTTCCTCTTCGTTCATTTCACTTTCAATTTCTCTTCTCCATTTAGAATTTTCAATCCTCAATTTCATCATCAGTGTCCTCAACGACGTCATTTTCTCATGTTTTCGTTCGATTCACGAGCAGGAAAGGTTGAAGGAGATACCTCATCCACACCCACAGCTTTTGAGCCATAATTTTATTCATACGCTCATGGCCACATGCTGCACCATATCTGAGAGAAGGCTCACATGGACGGGCTTAAGAAGAACGAAGAGACCATTTCAAAGTCAGCCGAATCATACTGGTATGATCCGGTTTGATTATCGCCGAAATTCGAAGCTCGTTGAGCAGTTTCTTTGCGATTTTGTGATTAATTTGAATATGTCTTTGGTTTTTTTCCTTAGTTTTGGATTTCACAATTTGTGATAAAATAAATTGATTTTAAAAAATGAGGATTGCTTGCTTATTTGTGTTAGTTCTAATAGGATTTACAATATGATCTATAATTTTAGTTTTATTTTTATATCAAATATTCAAATAAGAGGCTTGGCTTCAGTATCTCGCTCTTGTATCGATAGACCACTTATGCTGATAAAGATTGAAGGAGCATATAACAACGCCATGATTGGATAAGGGCTCCTATTTTTATTCAAAGACTGAAGAGGCTAATTATGTTTGGATGATGAGTAGATGACTACAATATCATAATTGCATGCCTCCATGGACCTTTCTCCTCACACGTAATTAGGTAAATTCCCTATATTTTTTAGTTAAAATATGGATGAGGAGGAGGTCATGGCTTCTTTTGCTTTTCAAGAGGCAGGAATTATGTTTCGGGTAGTTCTATGACAAGGTATTAACAATGTACTTCTATGACATAGTATTAACAATGTACTTCTATGACATAGTAGTATTAACAAGATAGTTCTATGACATAGTATTAACAATATACTTCCATGACATAGTAGTATAAACAAGATAGTAGCAATGTTAACACCCTATACTGAAACTTCACAGTGGTAGACATGCATTAGAAATAGGATTTCATAGGGAACTAGCAGTGTATTACCCTATACTGGAACTTTACAGTGGTAGACATGCATCAGAAATAGGATTTCATAGGAAACAATCAGTGTTATTACCAAATACTGGAACTTTATAGTGGTTGACATGCATTACAAATAGGATTTCATAGGAAACAGGCAGTATTATTACCCTATACTAGAACTTTATAGTGGTAGACATGCATTACAAATAGGATTTCATAGGAAACAAGTAGTGTTATTGCCCTATATTGGAACTTTATAGCCATTAATCAACATGACAGTAAACTAGCGACTAAATTACTGACTATTTTATGGTCCTATGTAGTCAGTCCAATAGTGAAATCTAATATAGTTACAAGATTTTATCCTTGATTTGAATCTAAAATATTGTTATTACCCTAGACTAGAACTTTATAGCAATTAATCAACATTGTAGTAAAGGTTTGGTTTATAAATGTCTTACCTTTGAAGCGTTTTCTTGTTGAAATTGTTCTCTAAAATATTGTCTTGTTTTGTAGGTGGAGGTCAGAGTGTCGTGTTTGTTTTTGAAAGTAGATCAAGCTTGGTGGTGGTTATGGAGTTTCGGATTGGACAGACGATGAAGACGCTTTTGATGAAGACAGTGAATGAAGAGACGTTTTGCAGAGATGGTTTAATGAAGGCGCATGCTAGAAGTTAAGTTACGGTTTTCTTTTTCTTTTTGGACAAAAGTTACGGTTTTCGAGATGGTAAAATGTTTGGGCTTTTTTATAAAATTGGGCTAAGGTTGTTTTGAGTGTTTTTTGAGTTTTTTTTCTGTTGGGCTTGATAGTGGCAGTGCTGTAATTTATAGGAACTTCAACACCAATTTGTTATATAATAAATGGATTTTGGGTGTGTTTCTAAAGTGCATTCTATATGGGTTTTTTTATTTATATAAATTCAGCTCCTATTTTGGGTATATTAGTGAAGCTCCCAATAAAATTTGAGCAAAAGTGAGATTTTCTCAACACTTCCATCTTTTAAGAAATACAGGACATCATATAGGGAGATTTTCCGACACTACATCTTTTAAAACTCTCACACTTTTGTGTAAGTGCAATAGTTTTTTCATTTTGAAAAAAATAAAATTGTTGTAACCAAATTCAGCAACCACATTTGCATTCAAAATGTGATATATGCCTAGTGAAGAAGACCACATGAAATGTAAAGCTCCACGGGTGCAAATATTTCCCTTCCATGTTTAGTAAATCATAAATGAATTTTGGGTTAGTGTTGGGTCAATATCAATCCATCCATAACATAAGAAGCATCATATAAACATATATAGTTATATTATATTATAGAATTCTTTAAAAATTGTGGTAAAACCCAAGATGCTCTAACTTAGATTTGGTAATGAACCAATTAGTCTAAGTCACAAGTCACAAGCATTATATAAACATATATAGTTATATTATCTTATAAAATTATTTAAAGATTGTGGCAAGTTCATAACTAATTTTGGTCATAGACGTTGCACCAACTTCTTGCTCTAGAACACCATACTTGACATTAAAATTAAAACCCTTTTGATTAGGACATCCCATGGAGGGAGGGAGATGGCATAGACTTAAAGCAATTGGGTTGGGTTGGGGTGGGGTGGATGGATTTTGATGGATTTAGTAGTTTATAAAGACTAGGTAGGAGATCACCTAATTATACCGGCAGAAACTACTATAATACCCTTTTCTTTTAGACAAAGTAAAACAAAAATCAAACAGTAAGAAAATTTGCAATGGAGAATGAAGTAGCGAGGCAAAGTTTCTTGGAAGGAATCGTCCTTAATAATCCATGGACCGATGCATAATCGTAACACAAGGAAATGGTTTATTCAAACATTGGTTGGATTTAAAAGTTTACCTCT